TCTTTTCAATTTTGTACAAGTTGCCGAGTTCCCCGAAGTTCCACTTTCTAATAAAAAGTTTAAGGTTTTAAAATCTTCATTGTAATCTGTCTTCATGTTTACTTTGAGCCTATAATGCGATATTTTGCGACTACTAATTTCCACACGGAAACGCAATTAAGTTCCAATCGCTCGGATTAACTATGATTTCACGATTGTACGCGTGTACGTATTGATTTTATCATTTGAGCTGTGTTTTTCTATTGAGAGAAGAATGCTATAATTTCCATTATTCATCTTTTTTGATTTTATAAAAGAATTTATATAAGGCTTGAACATATTCGGGCATGATCACAGGACGTGCGCGGAGTATCTGGTGCGCGAATGAGTCATTTTTAATTTTGAACTTTTGGTGTAAGATTCGTTATCAATGGCATCAAAAACCTTTTAAATACCAATTTCAAAAAAGTCCAACGATATCTTGAATTTTGGCCAACTTTTCGACCTCCCTGGCCCACTGTGCGCTGTACCCTATTATACTTACAGTATTTTTGCCTTCTTTTTCTTTCATACTTATATAATATAAAGAGGAAGAGAAAGGGTGAATGAGAAAGATATTATATATTTTAAAAATACGTATTAAATATTGGGCCACGCGTATGTATAATGATAACAATTTATTTATAAATTGATACGTTATTCAATGAATATACATATGACCACATTCGTGCGTTTCCACAAAAACATGGATGCCATAAATATTTCTATACTCACTTAGAGAATACAGCTGTACATTTATAAATGTAATAAAATATTAAAATAATGTAACAGCAAACGTTTAGTGCTTTACATTTTTTGACATTTCTAAAATCGTAAGTAGTTAACGATCTAACGGAGTGCGTTTACAGATGGAATGTGTTACTTAATATTTTCAGAAGTATAAAAGAAAAGAAGTGCAAATATGCAAATTTGCAGATATTAAAGCACCTTGGCACAATAGATATAGAATACCAAAATTTCTTCAAGTACCCTTTTAAAATAAATCTGTAAAGAAATAGATAAATTAAAAAGAAAATATATCAATTCCTGATTTTGAGAATGTATGTAGTATTCAATTTCACAGAAATGAATACTTTTTAACATATTTTAATTCGCCTATTTTTTATAGACAATATGTGATATTGAAATTCAATTTTATACAAGGGATATATTATCAATTCTTCTTTTTTTTTTAACAAAATATATATCAATCTGTATTTATGTATGCATGTATCATTTTTTAGAAGTACGTACGTACCCTACCGTTCAAAAGTAATATTTGCTACTTTATTTTTCTTAATTAAACAAACAAAAATAAATTTCAATCTTCTTTCCTAATTTTCTAGATGTTAGGCTTGATAATAATACTGTTCAGTGGCTCAAAATTTCCAGAAACCATGTTTGAGCATATTTTCTATATCTATATATGTAAAGAAAATATTCTAACTAAATAAGTAAAATTAAAATATAGGCGTATAAAAGAACATACAAAAATCAAGATGAGCAAATATTTTTGAGCGGTAGTGTAAGTACAATTCTGCCGCATAACTTTGCGCGCGTTATCACTTGATATTATTTTTAATCCAGTCGACGTATTCGGAGACACGCGTGTACACACCAGGGTAGCCGGGTTCGCCACACTTGTTGCCAAACGAGACAATACCGATTTGCGTCCATCGACCCTCGACCCGCAGCATCAGCGGTCCACCTGAATCACCTTGACACGCGTCCTTACCGCCCTGGCTGTAACCGGCGCACAAAAAGTTGCTGCTAATCGGCTGGAAGTAAGCCGCGTCGCAGTCCTCGTTCCTCCACACGGGCAGAATCGCCTGTCGTTGAACGGTGCTTTCTTTTCCGCCTGTCATATCGCATCATCATTATACGACATTAATTACAATATTAAGAATATCAACGTAAGAAGGGAAACAAGTTTTTCAAACTTAAGATTGGACATTTAAGTTCAAAGATTGAAAATGTTTGCTCTCATAAAATGAATTCGTAACTAAATCTGTCAGATGCGCAATCTACAAGAGATGAAACCATATTTGAACATATATAAAATCACTTTTGCTTGACTTTGTGAAGAAAAAACATGTACCGGATATCGCAGAATGGCTTAATATAATTTTCGACGTAATATTTTCGACGTTTTACCATCCTCTTTGTCTTTAATATGAGATCACATAAGAATTATTAGAGTTTGCAAATAATACTTTTTACTGAATATGAAGACCACGGATTTTAACATTTGGACTGCGATTATGTAAATGCGGATTGTGAGCGTATCAAGTTATTGTAATGTTCTTTAATTTTATGTTAGGCATTAACTAATTTATAGTAACATTGAAAATGACTCGTTCGGGGTCTGTTCTTCAAATCGTAATGAAATTGTTAAATTAATAAATATATATATTGGAGCAATACAACACCCAAGCTTTAGCTCGTTGGCCCTTTTTTACTTCATTTATTAATATTATTTTAATTTGGAGCCTTGACTTTGAATTTTATTTTAATTTTAATATATAAAATCTTTTGTTTCCTTTCAGAGATTATAGGATTTTCAAAGTTTCAAAAAAATCAAAACAATTTTTCTCATTTTTCACTAGTTCAAAATCATAAAAATAGAAAACTGATAATAATTGCAAGTAAAATTAATTATATTAAGAATTACGAAATTTACGTTTTAAGATTTCAAATTCTTTTCTCAAAGCTTTATCTTTGAAAATAACAATCAACTCAAACATGGCTTATCCGATCAAATTCAAAGAGTGATACAAAAAAAAGTGGTTTTTCGTCCGTTTTTTGAGCTCTCGATTTTGGGACTATACTGTGTGCCAATTAATGGTACCTTATAATGAGATATTAATTACAGAGAAGTTTCAAGTAACAATTGTTATCACAGCTGGAAGGGGGTCACTTATTACGTGTCTTTATGTGAAAACTCGATTTTTTTACATCCAAAACGAGCGTTATTTACGTAAGACTGCGATCAACCTTTATCGGCTGTATTAACCTTCTTAAAATACTGGATCTTGCAGACCTGTGATAATTCTATAATGGATTTTGATTTTATCCCCCTCCCCCTCCTCTAGCTCTGATAACAATTGTCACATCAACTTGAAACTTCTTTATAATTAATGTCTCATTATAAAGTATCATTTGGCACACAGTTTAGTCTCAAAATCGAAGGCTCAAAAAACAGGCAATTTTTTGGATTATTCTTTAATTAAAGTAACATTTTTAATAATATTGCGCATCGATTCACAAAGGTTTTTTCTTACTTTTAATTTTTTTTAACATATAGCAAAAAAGAAATAAAATTTTTTAAAGAAAACGCAATTCCTATGTTTAGATATCTATTTTCGAGGAAAATAAAATTTTTATTTTCTCTGTAATTTAAAAATAACATAAGTGCAAAATAAAAATGCCTATTTTTTATTTCATTGTCAGATAATTTTCTGAAATTAAAATTTTAATCCACCATACAGGTGTGCACTGCAATAATTTAGAATGCTATTATTATTTATTATTTTAATATTTCTGTTATAATTCTGAATTTTAATTTTATTATTAAAAATTTTTTCAACAAAAAAATATTATTTAACTAAATAAATTACCAATTTGTATTGTAAACAATAGTCGGAAGAGCACAC